TACCCAGGGCGAAATTGTGCTCCAGATGCTCACCGAGATCAGTCGTGTCGAAACCAGTCCACTCGACGAAGGTTCGCGTGAGAAGCCCGTGGATACATTCTAGCAACCCCAACCAGTCCGTGCACTCGTCGAACCCTGTCCAGCGACTGCTGGGCCACACATGCGGCTTGCGATTGGCCACGCAGGCAACGAACATTGTAATGAATTTTGAAACGCAATCCTCCCTGGATCCGCAGCACCCCTGGCAACAGTGCTCCACGATGCCCGTGTTGGACCAGCAACCGTTGGCCAAGGAAGCGATGACGGACCGCCTCAGCCTGATGGAGCCCGATTTGGGCTCGAGGAACGTATCCAGTACCATGGTGTTGCGTTCAAGGTCTGCACGCGAAGGTCTGGTGTTCTCGCGGTACACCAAGTCCCTCGAGATCACGAGCCGCAATGTCGAGCGAAACCGTCGCATCGCATCCGACGCGGAGAGGGCTTTCGCAACATGGACCATCATGCTGGTGTGCAACTTGACCTGTAGGAAAACCGTTTTGTAAAAGCCGTACACACGATGTATCTCACACAATATTTTCAAAGTGCTCCTCGCAGCTCCTGTCTCTCTGGCCAAGTTCCGCTCGAATCGTGTGATGGAGCTAGCCCCGTCGGTGGTGACGAGCCTCTGCACGCGCTCGAACAACGCCGCGATGTCGGCCATCATTGGGGAGCTCCGGCCTAAGGACTCGTACAACGCCTCCGCTGTCGTTCGGGCCATGGACTGTATGTGACCATCCACTGGAATGTGAACTGAGACCATGCCGTGACCAGGAATATCAAATAACATCGCGTACATCCTTTGCGTGTTGAGGAGCTTGGCCACGTGGGCCGTCTGGCAGGTGCAGCTGATGGGCACCAGCCGCGTCTGCTGAGCAACACCATCTGCAGGAAGTTCGCGGGCATCAGGTGCAGGGATATGCTCACGGTCAGTAAGCCTGGTGTACATTGGTGTTTCGTCGTACATCAAACGCTCAGAAAAAGTGACGGCCCTGCCACCCAACGCTCGAACATCTCGAACCATGCTGGAACACATAGAGCGAGCATCACGCCACTGCACCAGCATAGATGCGCAGGCCGTCGCACACAAAAACTGGTCAGCTTCCTTATTGCCCATGCCAAGTTCAGTGCGGCATTCAACAATCCAAGGGAGGATCGACGTCTTCTCATTCAGGAGGTATTGGCCCGCGTGCGCCTGGATCTTGCTCGGAGCATCGGCCTGCGCACCGGCGCGAGCCACAGCAAGAGCGTTCAGCCTCTCAACGCACAGCGCGGCATCCAGCTCCAACTGATGTTGCTCTGCGCCGTGTCCTGCAGCGGGTGCAAGGGGAAGATCGGCACCGTCACCACCACCTGCAGGGAGTGCGAGGGGAAGATCGGCATCACCACCACCTGCAGGGAGTGCGAGGGGAAGATCGGCATCACCACCAGCACCTGCAGGGAGTGCGAGCTGATCGGCATCGCCACCATCACCTGCAGGGAGTAGTGCTGGAATGCCAGCACTGAGACGCCCCAACTGCTGGCGAGCCTGCTTCAAAGCCACCCTCCCTGGCGCCCACGCGACCGACCGTTTCTTGGCCGCTCGAGCTCGCTCGAGCTCGTCTAATGCCAACCCGTCTACGAACACGTCAGGTCGAGCCTCGACTGGATGCGCGGGCGCGGGCTCCCCGCTGAGCTCGCCCTCGCCAGACTCTGCTGCGTCGTCGGGCTCGCCCTCGCCAGACTCTGCTGCGTCGTCGGACGGCGGGGGGCTCAGGGCGACATGCCCCCAGCCGCCATCCTCGCTGGAGCAGTCGTCCTCGACGGCGGCTCCCCAGCCCTCGTCGAGCATCGTGCCCGAAACGTTTGAGTAAAAATGGTTGCGGATATGTTGATCATGCTGACCGATTGGTGCTAATGACGGGGGTGAAATTCAACACAAGATGGGGACCCCGACAAGAGCTGCAATATGTACCGCGTTTCGATAACAAACCTCATCCTCGCTCCTCCCTTCGCTTGCTCGCCTTCCAACCCCCGAATCCTCCCCCGCCCTACCTCGCGGCATCCTCATTTTCCTCCTCCCCCTCCTCCTCCCCCTCCTCCCCCTCCGCCTCTTCGCCCTGCTCCTCCCCGCGTTTGCCGTCCTTCGCGCAAACATTTCAACTCAACAAACTTCTCCTCCAGTGGTACTTCATCCTCTTCCCCCCCTCCTCCACAGATTGGCCTCATCCTCACCCCGTTTCCTCCTCCCTCCCTCTTCCTCTCCCGCATCCTTGCATCCTCAGCCCCCCATCCTCCACGTCATTTTCATCTTCGTCCTTCCCACGCCCCGCCCATTTCTCTATCAAGTTTCCTCCCCCTTTTTCCGTTTCCCTCCAAACTTCCCCCATTTTGCCCCTCAAATGATGAAACGCCACGACAGATCATAGAGACAATTTGTGCCTGTGGACACGTGGGGCCCTGTCAGGGGCCCTTTCCACAGATAAGCAACTTGGTCGGCACGGGTCCCCGGGCAACCACCGCTTCCCTCGGGAATAACTGTCTCACTAGGAATCCGAAGTCTCGCGACCGATGATGGCCTTCCGCGTGGGCCCACCAAGGCCCTTGCACACGGCACGGCACACGGCGCAGCAAGAGGGTTACGCGGGACATGAGGACGCAAGCAGTTTGCGATCGTCGGGAGCGGGAGGGGGAAGAACAGGGAGGAGGATGAGCAGGGATCAGGATGAGAAGGAGGATGAGATAGCAACAGGAAGAGGTGGAGCATGATGAGGGTTTGAGGAATAAGGGCGAGAAGGAGGGAATAGGAGGAGAAGGACGAGGACGAGGAGGAGCACGAGGGATGAGGACGAGGAGGAGGAGAAGGGAAGAGGAAGAGGATCAGGAGGAGAAGCGAAGAGGGGACGCAGGATTGACATGGAGGAGGAGGAGGCGAATAGCGGCGAGGATGAGGGTGTGGAAAAGAAGTAGTAGAGGAGCTGGGAAGTGGTAAAGAAGTAGGAAAAGAAGTAGTGAGGAAAAGAAGTAGTAGAGGAGCTGGGAAGTAGTAGTGTGGAAAAGAAGTAGTGAGGATGAGGGTGTGGAAAAGAAGTAGTAGAAGTAGTAGGAGGAGGAGGCGAATAGCGGTGAGGATGACGACGCCATCTCCACCGCGATTTGACGCCGAGGGGGGAAGCAAATCACGCTGATGTGACCACAGCAACCGCCGTTCCTATTACCACCACTACTACCACCACTGGCTGTCAATACGAATGCCGCTACTAGAAGCAGCTACGACTGCTACCACTACTACCACCGACGACGGCCAGTGGTATTGTTACAAGGACTTCTACGACGAACGCCAATAGGATAGATCAAACACTACCGAGCCGACAAGAGCGCACTTTCTGTGTGAAGTCGGGCCGCACCTGCCTCACAAACCGAGAACAATTTGTTGTGCTGGCAATTACTTGTTCGAAGGTTATGCGCTTTGTTCGCGGAAGCGGAACTATTCGAGAATGCGTTTGTTGCTTGACGCACAGTCGTTCGAGACTACTTCTTATGCTCGGAAACTACACCTGGGCCAAATTTTGCCCTACTTGGGATGCTACTTTGAAACATACTTTAAAGCTCCGCCCCTACTTTGAAACCTATCTTAAATCATATCTCAAACCCTACTTTGCCTGTTTCAACATACCCCCCAGCTGTAGCAGGACACCCTTGTCACAAATCCAGGAGCGCATCCTTGTACGCCTGGTCCGCTGAGACCCATGCTTCTCTCGCAGTCGCAACCGTGCTGCGATGAGTCCCGATGTCCTGCTGCAGATTGACCGACCAGCCCAAGTCACGTTCCAGTTTCTTGTCAGCCTTCTGGAGGACACCGCGACACTGATTGACCTTGACCTGCAGCGAGACAACATGGACGTGGGCCGCCGCCTTGAAATGTCGCACCACATCGTTGCAACGTTTCGCAGCAACCGTGTCGCCAGCCTCTTGAAATAGAAATGCCAGAGACCGAGCTTCGTTCACCGACAAGCTGGGCACTGGGCCAGTGGGCAATTGAAGCTGACCTGACCCAAAGCCCGCTCCACCAGTGGCGCCTGCACCAGGTAACATGAGCTGTCGAACGCATTTGCCTGCACTCCCCTTGCCGAAAGCGGTGGGGCCAAAAAATTGCGTGACGACAGCACTTGGTAGAGGCGACTACCAATAGTCTCCACGGGAACCACAGCCACCATGAACGCCGCCACCACCACCAACATTACGAAGAGGGTTTTGGCAATGTTTGCAATGAGTCCAGTGCAACACATTCTTCCGACACCCACATGGTGAACACTTGACGTTTGGAGTTACCTGAGGTCTGAGAGCGATCACCTCCCCTTTCCTGGTACTGCCAATGCACTTGCTGCCTTGACAAATGGACTGCTTGAGCCAAACTGGTTTGAACCAACATTGTTACGGACTTCCTCTTTTTCCTCCTCCTCCTCCTGTTTCTCCTCTTCCTACTTGTCTTCCTTTTCTTTTTCCTCCTCCTCCTCCTCCTCCTCCTCCTCCTCCTCCTCCTCCTCCTCCTCCTCCTCGTCGCCCTCTTCCTTCTACGCCTCCTCGTAGAACCGTCAAGAGCCATCCAAACCCCGGAGACCGCCTGGACACCCCCGAAACTTTCTGCATGCCTCTCTTTCTTCCTCCCCCGTTTCCTGCTTGCCTTCCTCTCCAAGAGGTCGTCATCGGAAATCTGCCCCCACGGGGGCCCCGATAAGACCAAACGCGTCCAGTATCCTGGATCCTGAAACCTCAACGTTCGTTGTTGCTTTCCTCCGTCGGGAAAACATCTAGGCATCTGGAGGCCTAAACAAAGGCCAGACGCGCCAAATACCCTCGATCCCCAATCCCATGTGATCCTCGGTCCCCTTGATTCTCGATCCTAACCCCGCAATCCTCGCTTATGAACCCTCGGTCGTCATCCTCCTCCTCATCCTCCTCCTCCGCCAGGGGGGTCTCAGAGCCTGGAGCTCTCTGAACGACTCCAGAGCCTCGGCGGCAGGGGCATCGGGCGCCGCCGCATGCGCCGCTGGCCACGGGCGAGCGAAGGATAGAGTCGTCTTTCCCTGTCGAGAAACATGAAAGCTGCAAACACCGAATTTCTGGAGGTCCGCGTGGATCTCTTGGGTCGGCGCTGGTTCCCCATCCCTTGCGCGCGGAACGCGCCTTTAGGCGGCGCCAGAGGCGCCGCCAGGGGATTGCCGCGCAGATCCAAACATTCGCGCGGACCTCCGAAAGTTACGTGGGTGGCAGCAGCGAAAAAGGGAGCGGTGAGACACAACGCGAGACGATGACCAGGAGAGCGAAGAGGTGGCGAACATAGACAAGAATCCAGCCGTGGCACCGCGAATCCGCACCCTACAACAAGGCAGCGAAAGGAGGCGAGGCTCCCTTAGAATCCAGGGGCGACGATAGGAGGATGAGGAGGAGGAGGAAGAGGAGGAGAAGGAGGAGGAAGAGTAGGAGTAACAGGACGAGGGGGGAGGATGATGGTGATGGTGATGGTGATGGTGATGGTGATGATGATGAGGAGGAGGAGGAGGAAGAGGAGGAGGAGGAGGAGGAGGAAGAGGATGCGAAAGAGGCGGAGGTAGAGGAGGCGGAGGAGGAAGAGGAGGGGAGGAGGGGGAGGAGGAGGAGGAGGAGGCGGAGGGGGAGGAGGAGGAGGAGGAGGAGGAGGAGGAGGAAGAGGATGACCTCTTGACCTTGCGGTGGGCGTTCCTTGACAGCACGGGGACCAAAGCTCTAAAATACAGACCCGCGCAACACGCACGCAAAAACAAGTAAACGTCGCATTGGCGAACGAATACACATGCGAAAGCCAATTCATTCGCGCTGGGAGGTCAACTCACCCCAGGGACAGAACCATCGGGACCATTCGTGGGGCGGCCCCAGCAATTGACCGACTGCCAATGTCCACGCGGGAAGGATTGCCCACTCTTCGGCGGAAGCCCCCGCGACAGTCGCGACAAGACCTCGCGACCCGCCATGGAAGGGCCAAGAGGAGCGCACGGCTCCGCCAATGACTGGACGGCGACGGCCGCAGGCCCTGCATAACAAAAACCCCATCGAGGCAGTCCAGGGCATGAGGCGCGCGCGCACAGGAGCACGCGGGATGGGCAATAGCCTCTTCAGGACCGTCACGCATTGGTGGCCTCCCGACGCACCTCCGTTGTTTAAACTCATAAATCTTGCCTCTGTAGGCCTGGAACTTCCGCTGACACATCCCGCGCCGCACACAGCCTCTACTTTTGACCACCGAGTGGTCAGCCGCCCGAAGGCGCAGACGACGCGCATAGTCGGTAGGCAACGCCCTCGGACGAGGAGGCGGCCTACCAGCCCGATCGGCCTTAGAGCGAGAGCAGGTGGGTCTAACTTCCCTGTTGGCATCAAGCAACCGCAAAAGAACTAGGGAATTTCACGAATCAACATCGGCAAACAACTTGACAGATTCGGGCTCTACCTCCCCTGTCGCAGCGGCCACTCCAGCGAAATAGTCAGCACATGCATTCAAAAGAATGCTCCTGCTCAGACAGGCCCCAGCATCTCTCAAATATGCACTGGCATGGGCATCTGTCCAGATGAGCTCCACTCGGCCCGATCTGCGATCCATCTGGGCCCAGATCAGACACCGCAGATCGAGCATACGTTCGAGCGATAGAAAGGTTTGGGACCTCCTGAGGGCCCGCGCCATGGGAGGGCAGTCCGAATGCGCCGCGACGTCGCCGGCGGTGTTACCGCGCAGCTGGAGGGCGCGCGCACCTCGGCACGCGGACTGGACTGCTCGGGATTAGGAAGCGCATCGCAGAACACACCATCATATCTGAAATCCCCACATGGCCATCACTATCGAGCTTGACCACTGCCCGCCCACACCGTCTAAGTCTCCATTCCTTGGCCCACATGACCCCCGAGCCGCCATGGCCCCGCGCTCCGCCGTCGACGGGAACGCCGCGCGCGGCGCGCCGATGGGGCCCCCGGCGAGGGCGAGGGGGCTCGGCGGAGGGAATTGATCGACGGCGGCAGCCAACGTAGGAAACCCGCGGTTCCAGAAGGCACTGCCAGCACAGGCGCGAGTGGCCCCCTGAGCCTCGGGGATGAGACGGGCCGACTGCAAACCGGCACTGGACTCCATATCGGCGCTGCACGGGCACTGCCATGCCCAGTGCACCGCGATCTCTCGCCTGGCCCCGCAGCGCGGGCCGACGCGAGATGAAAGGTAGACAGCCTGCCGAAGCCGCGCTCCGGGCCGGCCCCCCCTCACCACCACCACGCCGCGATGCAGCGGCGCAGAGCTGCATCTTGATGGGCGCCTTCAGACACTACCTTCTCATGGATGCGTCGAAACACACTTGAATCAACTTCTCATCCAAACCAACTCCACAATAAAGGGTCGCGGCCTTTCCCCAGAGCAACCCCGGAACGGCTTGTTTCGCGCGTCCGCCCAGGGCAAACTCGAGCCCGGGGCCCTCGGGGTGGGGCGCGCCCGATAAAGTGACCCATCTCGCGGGAGAACCAGGCGCCCATCCGAAACCCAGAAAGGTGGCGACAATAGCAGAAGCGGGGCCCTTCACCCCTTCACCGGAGCCCATCGCCGACTGGGCCTCACGCCCATCAACCCGTCCTTGACAGAGGCCCACGTCCGAGCAACGCCAGATTGGAGCCCAAGGAAGAATTGCTTCCAGATCTTCGTCAGAGCCCCACGCCGCCCCCGTCGCAGGCGGCGCGCGGGGCCGTCGGAATACTGATGGCGAACAGCCAACGCAGTAGACGCACAGGCACCGGGGGACCAATGCCCCGAGCACCTCGCCGCAGAGACGCGAAAGGACTGGACCCGAGACGGGGGAAATCCAAGTGCGCCGCGGCCCCAGGCCCCCCGCGCTCAAGACTCCAGGCTCGAACCATTTGCGAGACCTGCCGCGCGGCCCAGCCAAGCGCTGCAACTTGCGAGCTCGCCTGAAGGCCGCCCTCCTACGGGGCCGAACCTTGGGCGCGCACCTCCTCCTCCCAGCCGTAGACATCGCTTCCAAATCCTTGACCGCCTCCGAATTCTCGACGGGAATCCCAAGGCGCTCGAACTCGGACCTCGCCTGCCTTAGCAACTGAGAAGAGGGTCAATCTTGGCGCTCTCCACGGAGACTCGGCACCCAACGGCCGCGGCGCCCTTGAAAAAAAAGGAGAGGACAGCGGCGGGAGCGAAAGACATAACGCGCTTGATCGTGCCCTGCGCACACTGCGTGACAATATCCACGTGCCACGAGACGTTCACGCGCGGTGCACGCCAACGCGCGCGATGCAACATCATACAATAATGTTCTCACCCGCGGCATAGACTGCGCGTAGCCAGCAAATATGAAATTATCTGCAGGACTGACTTTCGACGGCGCACCTCCCACTTCCAAGCCACGAGGGCGCGCGCGCACGACGAGGCCCACGCGCAGCAACTGCGAAGTGCAATCCAGCTTCGATGCGAACTGCGCAAGCAGCGGGGCCACCGCGCTGTCAAAACATCGCCCCACGCCCCAATGCACAGCCAGGGGCTCGAAGCCGATGCGAGAGGCAACGTGGTAGTAGCAGAGGGCGCTACGCAAAGCGCACTGCAAGGCTGATGACCCCTCGACTTCGGCATCCCAAAACTCCATGCGCGTGCGACTTATTCGTCAACCATGCCACAGCGCATGCGCACGTACACGCGACGGCACGTAGAACGCTTAGACACCGCGCGCTCACCGGAAACACTCTCGGGGAACATCGCCATGATATTGACCAGGCCCTGGCTTGGGAAAAGTGAGCTCTTGTTCGACCCGCTCGATGAGCTGGCGGACCCCGTCGAGCGCGTGCCCAGACAGAAGGAGCCATGCCCGAGGAGATTGCGCACCCACTCCAGTAGCGGCAGCAGCAGTGACAAGCTTGAACAAGATCACGGACTTCGAGCTCCGTCGCCTGCGGGGCGGCGAGCTGGGCCGCCGCTGAACTCCCCCAAGGCGCTGTTGAAGGGCCCCGCGCGATCGCTCTCAGGGGTCCACCAGCATCCTCAGAACTGCCCACGACGCCCCATCATGTCTGGAACGGTCTGCCCGACCCCTTCTGCCCGACCCCTTCGAGGTCCTTTAGGTATAGAAAAGTCACCCTATCATCCGACTTGGGCCACTCTTGGATCTTCGGGGCGCCGCCAGGAAGACTTGCGCGGCGCCGCTCGCGAACCCCAGCCCCAGCCCCCGCCCGTGAATTGATCCGGGCCCGCTTGCGTGCGATAGCGGCCGTGTAGACACGTTCGCGGACCGCGCCCGCGCAATCAGACGCCGGCAGGCGCCCGTGATCGCCGCGAGGCTTCAGCGGGCTCGTGGCGAGACCCCAACTGGACCTGCGGCTGATCCGACAAACGTCGCAGCAGCGCCGGCAGATCAAACGATCGCCCGCAGCCCGGAGCTTCCGTCGGCGCACCCCAAGGCAACGCAGTCGGGAATGGGCCAGGGACCAGAAGCAGAGGCACTTGCGCGCGAAATGCTGTTGCAGACAACCGCGTCTCCTGAGCGAACCGCAGGGCGTCTCGGGCCCTGGCCCGCGCCCCAGCACACGATCAGGTTGAACGGCCGCGCGCGCCCCGGAATGGGGCGCGCGCCCGAGAGAGGTCCATGGACAGGTGCCCGGCCGCATGCCCCGGGAAAGCATCCGAGACGCCCTCGGGGGCCGCCGCCTCCAAATCATCCTGCAGAGCCTAATTGCGATAATTCAACCAGGCACTATCAAGGCCTATGGCGGGAGGAAAAGACACGCTTGACTCTGCGAAGCACTGCCGCGGACATCGCGCCCTTGTCGAAAACTGCCTC